CTCTTAATAAATAATAATTAATATAATACCGACTAAAACACCTCCTTTTGTTGTCCCTTTTCTTTTCCCTCAGTATTTTTCCACATACCTTGATATGCGATTCCAGTTTTGTTGGCTCTGAAAAAAAACTATGTTCTGCGTCGATATAACCTTCGCAGTAAAGGCATACTGGTGATGATACCTTTCTCATTTTTTCTAGATATGACAGAAAATAGCCAGAGCCGCTAAGAAACTGGGTCAAGTAGTAATTTATTCCCACGTGCTGCTTTTGTGTCCAGGTTTTCACAAATTTCCTCGTAGGAGGTAGATGCCCACTCCTCGTAAGATGAACCTCTGTTTTCAGAGGAAGATGGAAAATACCCTGTTCTCCTTAAAACAAGAAGATACTAGTGATGATACCTTTCTCATTTTTTCTAGATATGACAGAAAATAGCCAGAGCCGCTAAGAAACTGGGTCAAGTAGTAATTTATTCCCACGTGCTGCTTTTGTGTCCAGGTTTTCACAAATTTCCTCGTAGGAGGTAGATGCCCACTCCTCGTAAGATAAACCTCTGTTTTCAGAGGAAGATGGAAAATACCCTGTTCTCTTTAAAACAAGAAGATTCCCATGTATGATGAGTTATAGACTGTATTATGAGCTGTAACTCAAAAAAGGCGGACACAATAGATCTTTAAGGTCGCGGTGGTTAACTCCCCCTCTTATTCACTCTACATTCTATGGTTAGCGAAACGCCTCATGGTGGGGTATTAGCATGAAAAAAATGATCGAAATTCGAAAAAGCAAATGTGTTTAAGATTTACCAAAAAAAGATAAATGATAAGTTAAATCATGTCCGCCATGATTGGCGTTGCTATGGGTGTGTTTAGTTGCATTAATTTGTTTCAACGAAACGTCAAAGTTGTTACTTCTCACAGATAAGAGGTAAATGGCTAAATTTTATGTTTAAAATTATAAATTGTTGTTGTTCTTGTGCTCTTTTTACGTTTATATTATTGTTTTGATTGAAAATGGCTCAGCAAGCTGCAGGTATGTATTCTACAAAAACGTATTATTTATTTTGATATTCTCTATACTAACGATTTTTTTTGCAACTAAAATTTAAGCGTTCAGAAAATTTGATTAAATTTGTGACATTTTTATTATACTTAGAGATTTAGTTGTGCATTTCGAAGAATTCAGCATATTGTCTATATACGTTTTACTTAGTAAACATTGGGCTTTCATATAGTAAAATAAAATACTGCGACTTTTTGCGACTTTGCTGATAAAATAAGAGAAACATTCTTGGTTTCCTCTAATTTGCCAATCAGTACCAGTTTGCCAGATATACTAATGCGAGGTGTAAACCGCGATGGCATTGCTGTGTACAAAGCGATCGCATTAGTGCCATTAGCAGTATAGCACAATTTGGTATTAGTAGCGACTTTAGTGGTAACGGCATTGCTCGCGGATCAGTCGTAGCATTAGTAGTATTAGTTGCGATATTACTACTGGCATTAGTGGCATTGACCGTGGAAACAATGGAACAGTGATTTTTCTTTCTTTTTTTTAGAATCGACGAATTATCCTTTATTTTGTTCATATTATTTCCTCTTTAATTGAAAATAGCAATAATTTATATAAGGTCTACATAAAAAATGTCGATCAACTATCTGTGTCAAATACCTCACTGTGCGCCTGTCCAATGCAATAGTAAAGTGTTTTGGTGTATTGTCGTGAATTGGTGTTTTATTTTGCTGTTGTAAAACCAAAGGGTGCAAGCCCCAACTATAATCTGAATCATATAAATAAAATATGATTGAAGATACATTTTTTGGTATTACAGGGTGGAGATACTGTTATGTTTATCTTTTCTGTAGATTTTATATTTTATCAATCAATTCCTAACTACTTTCGGCCTAAACAGGGACTTTAATTTATTTGGCATTGACTGAAAAAAATTGTTATACCACTTTAAGATAAAGCTTTTTGTTGTACATAAACCTGATAATGAAGAATAAACGACTGCTGCGATTTATTTTCTTATGAATTTTGTGTTTAGTGGTAAAATCACGATTGTCCGGTAATTTTCATTCGATCCAAAAAAAATGCCTTATGTTGGATTAACAGATCTACATAGGGAAAGAATTATTGCTCATATTGAACTAGGAATGTCCCATAGAAACGCAGCAGAGATAGTAGGCGTTGCTCAGGGTGTGTATCGAAAACATATGCAAGGTACTTGAAACTAGAAACTCTCAAGACCAAGCCCAGACAAAGTCGTCAAAGAGTCACAACTGAACAACAAGCCCGCTTTGTGTGCCAAATTGCTAGTAGAAATCCCAGTGTTTCTCATCGAGAGCTACAAAAGCAACGTCTGGCAGCTACAGATGTGAACGTTTCAGTTGAAATCATAAGAAAAAGGCTTCCTGCTCGAGGGTTGTACAGTAGGAGAAAGTTACGGGTCCAACAGTTATCTCGGCAAAATAAAATTGACCGACTAAATTGGTGCCACATCAAAACTGGACAATTGAGAATTGGTAAAACGTACTTTTTTCGGATGAGACCAGAATTAGCCTAAGATCAGATGACCATCGAATTCGAGTTCTCAGACCTCCAGGAAGACGTAAATATGTACCAAGATATAAAGGACAAACTGTAATGTTCTGGGGTGGTATTATGCTGGGAGCAAAAACTCCATTGTTATCACTTTAACGGGTCGGAGGTATGTTGATGTAATGCTAGAACCAATCGTTAGGCTTCGGAGAGTTGCAATTGAGGATAATTTTAACTTCATGCAGGATAATGCACCTCCCCATACCAGAAGAGTGGCTAGAGAATATCTTGAAACGGAAGGCGTAATAGTTTTGAACTGGCTTGCATATTTACCAGATCTAAACCCTATCGAACATTTGTATGACCAACTCAAAAGAAGGGTTAGAGCTCGTCGAAACAATCCAGGAAATCTCGCACAGCTTGTTGATGCAGGGTTAGCAGAATGAGAAAACAACCCCAAGACAACGTTGATAACTTAATAAGAGGGACGCCAGCGTGGATAGAAGCTTGCATAAGGGCTACAAGTAGCATTATTAAAATGGTCAATTTTCTTTTTGTTTTGCTTTTTGACCATTAAAATTTTAAATCTCCTTTTGTTTCAGAAACCAAAAATATACCATGGTGTTTATTTTGAGAACTGATTATTTTTTATATTGCTATGTGAATTATTTTTTATTAAAAATCTTTGGTAAGGACTAAATTTTAATTATAAACACACAAAATGTTGATACTTCTGAAAAATTATGGAAAATAATTGAAGATTCCATATAAGCTTGGTTGTGTGTATGTCTACAAACGAAGACTAATAAATCATTACGGAACATTTAGTTTTAGGCATTCTAAATATCAACATCATCCAATGATATCTTCAGAGAAATAAGAAAATCTAGAGGAGTTATAAGATATCTGTTAATACAGCCATTACTTATTTGTATACATCTGGCAGTGTTACCAAATTTGACAGAAATATCAGATAAACTTTTAATATGCATAACATAACTTTAACGAAAATTAGCTTCAAGTAATGTATATGGTATAAGACTGTAATTACAACAGGCTTTATAATTTTATTTTATGATAATAAAAGATGTATAAATAATGATTGTTTGTGATGATATTTATTTGCGACCTTAATTTTTGTAATATTGCTTACTAATCTAGCAAAATCTTTGTTATTCTGGTTTACTAATTTGTGAAGTAGGTATGTGTATAAGAAAAATATGAATTTGTTGTTGTTTTGAAGTTACTCTGTTTTTTTTCTCAGGTAAGATTTTGACTATTTGTTTCATTAAAAAAAGTTTCTAATATTTTTTAAGTTAACTATGGACGGGTTTATATATAAATCCGTCGTGCGTCGTTTTTTGTTGTTTTTAACCAGTTTTATTGGTTTATTTCAAAGATGACAGATCATATATTTTGAATATTATTGGATTGACGCAACGATGAACGATATACGTACGCATATGCGTATGAACCCGACTTAAGATTTTTGAGGCTTGTCAAACTGTTGCCAAATTATAGATTATAATTTTATACCAATTTGCGAATTGCTTTTGCATTTTGGTTCGTGTTATTAGTTGTGTGTTTTGTGTTTTTTGAAGTTAAGTGGAGGAAAAATCGGGGGAAACTTAACTGTAGGCCCAGAGCACAGTTTATAGTTAATATTCGGTGCCCAGACAGAGAGTTTTATACACAAATAAAACTACCATCACTAAAGTTTGTATACCATTTTGTATATGGTACTAAAAACTGAAGTACCTGTAAAATAACATCACACAATAGGTAAATAATACATTTTCGTACTGCAGAAACAATGTCAAACGGTACTGGTTTAAAAAATTAAGATTAAAGTTAATTGATCAGCTTTTAAAGTATAAAATTCAGTAAGTGTTATTATTAATAAAATATTTTGTTTTATTTATGTTGTGTTTTATTTATTACTGCGCAATATTAATGTTTTTTATTTGCACAAAAGTTATATTGATAAATATAATAATAAATGCAGGAAGTTTTTTGAAGTTTGAAAGTACGAAATAGTTCTTTTTTATATTTTTTTGGTATGTGGTGTTTTGTTTAAAATATATCCTTGTTTGTTTTGCACACATATATTTTACTTGTACACAAACGTATTTTTTTTTAAATTAAATAACTCGATTAGATTTTTTTCAGTTTTATACAGTTTTTTTTCACTATATTTTGAAGTAATCACTTGTCACTCAAATTTTAAATATAGGTATTCAATTGTACCAACTTAATTCTTTGCGAAAAAAAAACTACATTGAAATTAAAACGACAGACACATCTATCACTGTCAAGGATTTTGTCGTTTGGACAGACTTATATTTTTATTGAATGATCTTTCAAATGATTATAAATCAATATTACTTATAACTTTATATTTACTCTACCAATTTTATGTGTGTTTATAAACACAGATCAATAAACCGTTGCACAACTCACTTACTTTTGAACAACTCAAACGTCAACATCAGACAATGTCCCCCATATAATGTCCCATGTCCACTCCAAACCCTCTCCGACACAACTAATCACCATAGAATCAAAATCGAATCCGAATAAACCGAAAAATCAAAGCTCGAATCCTGCTGCCGTAGGTACGTCCACGGGTTCAACGTCAGCAAGTACTACTAGCTTCTTCCACAAGCGCGACGAGCCGGTATCACACGCGGTACATAACGGGCCCGAAGAACGAACGGCACGTACGTAGTCGGTACCTACGCAGATTGTGATGGTACTGGTGCGAACGCGGTCAGGACTCCAGTCGTACTGAAGAAGTAGCGGTACCACCGAGCCAACGTAAGAGATTCGTAAGAAATGTCGGGTTTCGCGAGAAAGAAGGATGTGTCGTGATGACGATGAGGAAGAAGGTTGAGATTGGTGATGATGGTACTGGCTTGGTGGTTGAAGTGGTATCTGTTGCTTGTAGTACTTAAGTGTATCTGTAGTGGTATCTGTTGCTCTTGTAGTACTTAACGATCTGATAGTGGAAGACAAAAGAGTGTTTGATAAAAATGAGTGGATCTGTATTAAGTGTTACATTCTACATAATTGCTTTTTCTAATTTGATAATCAAATTTTTGTGTTTTTTTTATGCAAATTATTTGCATTTTCCAAATTCATGTTCTTTGATACGTTACGTTGTGTTGTCTCCTGTTGATACTTTATTCTGATCTTTCTATAAGGTGATTTCCGGCGATGGGACGTTAGACATTTATGAAGAACCGGTGCCACAATTTTTTTGAAAATTTAATTTTTACACAAAGGCACCTGCTCCATCTTTCTAAAATATTTTCAGCTTTACAGTGTTGCGGTATCATTCGAAAAGTGCTAGCATCTTTCTTTATTTTAAATGGAACACCCAGTATATTATTACATTTTTGGAAACTACTTTAAAATCTCATAATTTTTCTATTATACTAACCTATACCTATCTCTAATAGTTTTTGAGATAATAAATAAAACATGTGCAAAATTGACAAAAACATGATCGTGAATAAGCATTAGTAAAATCGTGAATTAAACAATTTTAAAATTGAAATTGGGATTATAAGTTAAAGAAAGTCGACATATTCGATCTATCTAAATAAACCGATTGGATATTACACGGTTAGAGCATAAATATTATTATTTCCGTTTATAAAATTGCTCAAATCTTTGTTATTTTAAATTCAATCCTGTGTATATTATTTAAAAAATCAAGACTAATAAAATTGCTTTTCAACGATATATCATGTTACAATATCTAAACCTCCGGTTTCTCAATTTAAAACTAATAATTCTATTATTATAGTTTCATTTCAAGAATTTCGTTACCATGACAATTTTAGAAATTTAGCACGTAAAGTCTAATTGGTACTTATAAAGTTTGAATATCTGTCATGCTAACGATTTTCTTTAAACGAAACAATATAATAGGATTATTATCTTTTAAATGGCTTTACTGAAGAAACCAGAAGGTTTAGGTATAGGAACATGATATATCGTTGAAAAGCAATTTTATTTGGGTTTCGATTTTTTCAGTAATATACATATGCTAGAATTGAAGATAACAATAATTTTAACAATTTTATAATAATCGGAATTTTTTTGCTGACCTCCCTGTTTGATATACAATCAGTTAATTTAGACAGATCGAATATGTCGACTTTCCTTAATCTATAAAGCAAATTTTAGCTTTCAATATGCATTTTTTTTTCGTCAAGGCTTTCGTCAATTTTTACACATGTTTTATTTTTTATCTCGAAAACTATTAGATATTTTTATAGATTTATCCCTGAATGGCATCCTCGGTATATTTTTTTATATTTATTCGATAGAAAATGACACTCTGAATAGAATGACTTATCATAATATGTCAACTCTTGACATTTTTGCTTTAAAAAAATCGTATTTTAAATTTCAATCTAGAGTGCCATGGCTGTGTTAAAAACACTAATTTTTAATCAAGGAACCTTGGAAAATAGATTTCATCGACTAATGTTTTTCGTGTCTTGTCCTCGTACAATCTTGTTCAATCGTATTTTTAAACATATCTAATTTTTTTCAGATCGAACAAGGGTGGCTCATTAGCATATTTGGAAAAAGTATTTTTTAGGAATAATTTGATACCACACACTGGGTATTTCGAGTCAAATTATCGTTATGAGCCGCACGTTACAAAGTCAAATAATTGTAATATGGGGTGATATGTGATATGTCATTCTATCCAGTAATATTCTATCGAATAAAATTAAAAAAAATACCGAGGGTGTCATCTAAAAATCAAAAGTGGTAGTCATTTTCGGTCAAACAGCAAGTTTACTGCCATTTTTTTGCTGAACAAGTAACATCTTACATTGATCATTTTCTATGATAATGATGCTGCTAGTTATTTATTTTCTCTATAACATAGTTTCTTTTATCGATGTTATAGAGTTGGAGTTTTGATGATTGTCCACTATCAAGAGAATTCTTGTCAAAGAACTATGTCAAAATTCTGGTCTCGATAATGATTCAGCATTCTGTTATCTTGGTGCTGCAGCTCATAATTTTCAGCACACTTACATTGAAATCTGTAAATACACTGGCCCTGGTCTGTGCCATTTTTTGATTTTGTTTTTCTTAAAACACTCTTTAAGATTGTTGAAGCCATAAAAACTGTTTTAGTTTTGTACATCCTCCCATTTCTCTTTATCTTATTACTTGGCCTTTGGTGTTCTTTTATTGTTAATTTTCTTGATAGTTGCTTTTTTGACTCGTATTGGTAATTGTCTCACTGATATAACTTGCACCATACTTTAATGGGATTATGTAAGTGTAGTTACCTTAAGGTCTGTTCCCAGAAGAATCCCTGACTAGTCAGCACGTTTCTCATTGGTTAAAATGCGTAGAAACCTGATCGTTAGTCAGGTTTCTACGCATTTCAACCAATAAGAAACGCGCTGGCTAGTCAGAGATTCTTCTGGGAACAGGGCCTTAATCTGTGTTAGTTTTAGATGATTTTCCTGCTCATTCTTTGCAGCAAGGGACTCAGTGTAATGCATTTTCTCCATTGTTTCCTTATTTAGTTGGTGTTTTTAGGTTTTCAATTTTCTTTACAAGGTACTTCAATTAAACCTGTAAAAATACACGTCTTGCTTTAAAAACAATATATTATATTGCCGATTTCCTAAAAATATTATTATAAATAATTATTGGAAATGTGGCTTTGTAACATAGCCTTCTTTATTGATGGTGTTATGTTGATAGTTTAAATTATAATGATGTTATTATCTAGTAATGGATAAATTAACTAACAAATGTCAAAATCTTGTTGGCTTGTCTGCATAGATCGTATGTCCACTTCCAGGGTGAAATTGTCGCAGGCTGTTCCAATGTATCCTAGCAACAGCTTGCGTTAGTCAGTTGTATCCTTTGAATAAGAAGACTAAGGAAGGAGCATAATGCTATCCATGTATTCATGCATGGTGGGCGGAAAAAGCGCCATAAAAGCACTCTAGGGTGGGGATCCTTGACAGTTCTGTGTGACGATTCATTTGACACATTTGAATTTCATTTAAAATTTTGTGGATTTGTCAGTCTTTACGGAGCTTATTTTATGTTATTTATTATTTATTCTACTACTGATAGTTGTATAAAGGTAGTAAATCTAGATGGAAATTGTGGCAGCACTTAAATTAACAGCGACACTATCGCGATTTATCGAAAATGTCGATTATCGCGATTTATGGAAAAAATAGTTGGTTGTGTAGCGTGCGGTAGATCTCGGCAAAAATTGAGTGAAATAATGGAACAACTTTTCGCTAGTAAGTGACTATAAAATATACATACGTGTAGGAAACCGATCATTTATGAAATTCACTTAAATTAACTAAATTATATATTTTTCTTGCATTTTAACTTTTATTTATTACTTGTCAAAGATTAGATGTCAAAGAATTTAGATACGTTAATTTGACTTACCAGCTTCAGTAGCGTATCGGATGTTTGTGGTAATAAATACTTATTATAACTTATCTATTTTTATTAGAATTATATATTTTTATAGCAATTTTAATAACTACCAACATTTATTCACAACGTAAAATAAAACAACAAATTATTGAGTCTACCCCACGTCTACCCTACATTATAGTTTTATATTTTTTAAATAAAATTAGAACTGATAACCGGAATTTAAGTCGGCCATATTTGAGGCCCATCGCGGTGTACCTAAGATTTTTGATATGCTCCTTCCTTGGTCTTCTTATTCAAAGGTTGTATCCATACAGAAAGCCTATAATATTTGGCTTATAAAACAATCAACTTTTGTAACAGTCAAATTTCCTCCACCAGATTTCTAACCACAAATTCTCTTGACGAAAAATAATTAAAGGCCAAAATGACATTTGTCGCAACTTTTGAAGTATAATTAGTGGAAAAGTCAAAAGTTTGATAACTCAAACATTGAAATTAAAGGACCAAATTTCTACGCTAATTGAAACCACTAATTTATTCCACTAATTGCGAGGTTCTGAACGAAGCTTTAACCAATTATTAATAAAGCACAGCACTGGTTTATGAGAAACTTCAAGAAGATGACATATATGTATAACAACGTTTTCAGTCAGTTCAGAATTGACATCAAGAACATGTGCAACACCATCATCAGTAGCCTGTAGGAGTTGAAAATGATTTCGTGATCTTCTTCCTCTTCTTTAACATGGTCAAGTTACACATTACTCCTGAGACTGTATGATGAGCTATAACTCGTTATAACTCAAGAAAGGGGAATACAAAATAGATCTGTAAGGTGGCGGTGATGGTGGTACCCATTATTCCAACTTGGATAGAGTAGATCTAGTGATGTTAGTTTAGAATTCAAAGTTTTTGTGTAAAATTTCAAGAAAACACAGGTCTTAAAATCATGTTTTAAAGGAATTGTTTAAAAATACCAACCCTGCTTACAACACATGTAATAATTTTATTATTTTTATAACATGCACTTCAATTAGCCGCATACTCTGAAAAATAATTTAAGTAAAAATTGAAAAATAGTAACTCGACTTTTTCGGAATTCTGTATCACCCAGTATAGTTCCACCTTATTAAGTTTTATATTCCTCGACAGATAGTTTAAATAAGCCTCTACATAAAGCACAAAACAATTTGACCAAGAAGGTTACATATATGTTATTACTCCGAAGCCAGCTCTAATGTCGGGTATTTCGTATTGTAATGTCTGGTACGTGACGACACGTTTAGCCCAATCGGTACTCGGCTCAACTGAAT